ATTTAGTGGATATATGTTCAATACACCATTCAGTGTATTATATATGTAGGGACCCAAAAAATATATATACTTAGTTACAAAAGATGTTTTGGCAATTACTGGATGTTTCATGACATTTCGTCGTCTGTGCCTTTTTGACAAATAAGCCGGATCAAATGCTGTTTTTTTGTGTTGCAGTAATGCGCATTTCAATATATATAACTGCCGAACAGTCAAAACTTCACAAAATCTATATAGTGATTCTGTCGGGAACAAAATCGACTTATATGTAGCAACTTTAAGAATTGCACGTTGGGCTATCTCTAGGCTTTTGATGGTTGTTTTAGGAGCCCCACCCCATGTTGATATGCAATATGTGATAAGAGATTGACATACGGCCGGTTTCTGAATTGAGAAAGTACAAAATCTCAACTGATTAATCTTAATAAATTAAGTTTTTTTACGTTTCATATGGCAAAAAGTATTAGATTTACCAAATTACTATCAACTGTTAATTAAAAATTTATAAATCAGCAATGAAAACATGTTTTAATGACATTTAAAGTGACTTAAGCACGGTTTGAGACGTGCTCAACTTCAAATTCTCAATTCAGAAACCGGGCGATAGTGCATAATAAATTTGCTTCATTAGTTTAGGTTCCGCAACATGCCTAAGATATTTAAAAATATATATTAATTTTCTTACCCTTCCACAAACAATCCTTAAGTGTTCCTTAAAATTCAATCTATAGTCTATAGTCACTCCAAGGTATTTCATTAAATAAACTCTCTCTATTTGCTGACAGTAAGATCCACATTTCAGATGACAGAAATGAGATATCATGGTGTACTCCATTTCCATTTTTATTTCACAGCGTATATTAAATAACATGTATTTAGTTTTATCAACATTCAGTGTAAGTAGATTGTCACGCAACCATTTATTTACCGCATTAAAGCCTTCCTGTGCCAAAGCAAAGACCTGTTTCCACGATTTACCATTGAAGACTAGAGCGGCATCGTCTGCATGAGAGATTATTTGACCTCCAGGCAATTCAAGATTTGTAAGATCATTCATGTAGACGAGAAATAGAGTCGGTCCAAGGAAAGTATATATAGAGGTAGGTATGAAATATAAATCGGTCCAATAGATTCGGAGCCTATTCAATGCAAACAAACAAGCAATCAAATCTTACCACTATAAAATATGATATATATTGGAAAAAAATATGTCGAGCAAATAAACAAAATCTCCTATTGTAAGACTTTTACTATGTTAAATAATTTTAGTGTTACTTATTATATAAAAAATATCACTAAAACGCATGATATAAAAACCTTTTTTTTTTTAATGTAAAACCGAATTCAAACTTACAAAACAATACTTATCTCAAAAGCGACTTATTCAAAAATGCTGTTGCTGTTCGCTTCTAAAGTTTAAAGCCGGTTCTACTTTTTGTAAAAAGTTTATATTATATTTTTTATTATTAGATTGCTCAGATTCCAAGATGAGTAGCTAGCCCCCATTGAGGAGTACCACATACCACATCACCCAGATCAGAGATAATATATGTACCTATATAAGTTCTTTTTCTACATTACCCGACCGGGAGTCGAAACCGGGATCTCAAACGTCGGGACAAACCTATACTATGATTGAAAACTTATGGGATATTTAAAATTTACGCTTTTACATTAACTTTAACTTAGCCAGCTCAAGTGTGGATGAATTTGGGAGCAGCCATTGTCCTTCCAAGGTTGAATATTCATGTGGCCGTATTTCTTGTCATTCGAGCGCTACTCGACTCATCTTGACCCCAGTAGAACTCTTTAAAAATTTAAATGATTCAATGCTTAAGCAAATGACACTCAAAAGTAAAGTTGCTCCGTTTTAGGTACAAATAAAAGTGATTCAGATTATACTGTAATTAACTGAAAAATAATTCTTTGGGCTGTCAATACCTAAACCCTATAATACAAAGGTTTAGATGTTAGATTTATTGTAAAATTATGATAAATATTGATATACTACTATGAAATGTTTATTCGCGATTTCTTTTAAGTGTATCAGGTGCATTTAAAAGATACCTTTGATGAAATTACATGTTATTACAATTAACAATTAACGGCTCCACAAAATTGATAAAATTCTGCAATCTTTCATCAGTTGATTATATAAGATTCATAATAGATTACATAAATCGGCCACTTTGTGGGGCTGCTTTGTGTACTTGCACATTTGTGAATGTGCTACGAATGTTACTACAGTATAATGTTACGAATGTTACGTTGCTCATTACGGCAGTGTTATTCTATTAAAAATATAATTTTGAATTCAACATATTGTTGTACGCAGCACACAGCTCTCACACAGCGTCAGAGGTTCTAACAAGGACAATTTACTTCAAAAAGTAATAAAACTTTTCATCCTTCTTATCAGCCAAAAAACGACTTGAACGAGTGGAAGACAAAAATATTCGACGATTTAAAATAAGTTTATTTGAATAAATATATTTTGATTTCGATCTTTGACAGTAGGCGACAGTTACTGTATTTGACGGTGCGTTCAAAGCTTTAATTTATTTTATTTTTATTGAACACCGAATCTGAATAATTTGTAAACTAAACGCCTATAAAGTGATTACCTAGTTTAATAATATGCTTTTAATAATAGTTTTTGTTTTATAAAATTCAATTTTAAATTCTATCTATACTAACTACTACTAGTCTCCAGGGCAATGGAGCATAAACTATAGAATGACCTATTTCTGTAAATTATTTTTAATTAATGTTATACGGATATCGACTACGTGATTAAATAAAGAAAGAAAGAACAAAAAAAAGTACAAACCTAAAAGTTTTAAGTCATCTGATTTATTAAAAAATTAAAATTCGAAAATAATCGTTTCTTTATAGTTTATTTTTACTTTTAATTATAAAATTTCCCTATAAACAGTATAATTAGTTTGTGGTTTTGTCTGTCGAGAAAATTATTTAAAAAATGATTTTATTGAGGTAAATGTCTTAGCTAGATAAATGCCTCTCTGGTCAAGCACAATATATTTATTATAACTAAAAATGAATCCCTATTTCCTGATTTTGCTAATTGTTTTTTACTGTGTTTGTTATAGCCAGGAGAAGGTTCTTATGAAAGAAAAAAATAAGAAAACTGGAAAAATTAAGAATATTTAACCACAATATAAAATTTTTTTCTGATCTAACCTTAGTACAATCAATTGTTGATTGAATTGCAAATATTAAAATTATTTTATTATAGGTTTTAAGCCATTTTTCATTCATTTCATTTTCATTTTACATGTAGAAATTAATTTATTTACTTGACATTGGCAGAATTTTGCGAATGAAGAAGAAGAAGGACAATATCTATCGGGTCAGCTAGTTTTAAATAAAATAAATACAAAATAATAGTTCATGTCAATAAAAGCACATACCTTTACATGGCCTCACGTAAGTCATAAATCTACAGTAATCGTGTCAAATAAGTTAACAAGCAAATAAAAACACATGAGAAAACAAAAAGTCAGCATCAGCACGACTCGTGAAGATAGTGAAATACTTTGGACGCATTCAGTGAATGTAATGAAGTGGCATCGAGAGCTGAACGGGCGGTGGCTCTTCGATAGACTGAGCGGTAGCGGAAAGCGAAACATTTTGTACCTGATAAATAACTGATATTAATTTCTAATTCGAATAAAATTTATGTACTCGAAACGATCGAACCAGTGTCTTTTTCGGTTTTATGTGATGTGGATCTGTTCCGTAAAGTTGAGGGTTAAGGTTCAAGTTCCATTGTAGTTTTTGTGACGTTGGATCTGCCCTCCTGCTGTATCCTGCCCCCAAGGTCCTGAGGTTGGAGTGATCTATTTTGAACATAGGCCTCTTCTCACTTTTTCCATGTCTGGTGGTTTTGAGCCTCTTCCATCCAGTTACGACCTTCGTGTCTTTTGATATCATCCACATATCTTTTGAGTGGACGGTCACGTGACCTATTGTTTTCGCAGGGTCTCCGCTATAATAGCCACTTACACTATACGCACCATATGTCCCGCCCATTTCCACGTCCATAGGGCAATTCTGATGATCACGTACTTCAGACGAGTTTTTCTTTTTTCTTTTAATTTGTCTTTCTGTCGCGCAAACTGATTTCTAGCATTGCTCTGTCCATTGCTCTTTGTGTAACTGTGAAGTTTTCAATAGACATTTTAGTGAAAGACATAATGGTCTCAGTTCCGTAGGTAAATACGGATAGGATGCATTCTTCAAGCACTTTCTTTCCACGCAGTATATAATGATTAATTCCAAAGATTGCCCAGGATTGAGCTACACGACAGTTAATATCCGAGGTCTGATTAGGATAACCCAAGGCAACTGAATGGCCCAAAAACATAATTTACAAATTACGAATCTCCCTGGCCTCAAGACGAAAAGATGCTTTTATATTATTCTATTTTATGTAAAAACTAATTGAAATTATCACTAATAGTAGGTAGACACGATCATTAAGAAAAACAGGTGATAGGGCAATCAATGCAAGGAAAGTGGACATGAGTCTTTCTCCCGTTGATTACAAACCATTAAGGTTTAAAATCACGATATTTTAAATTAAACACCATTTTATTGTATTAAAATTAAATAAAACCAAATAATATTTGTCTCTAGTTCTTGTCAACCATCAACAAAATCTTATTTTAAATAAACGGAATTCAACGAATTTGAAAATGGGATATACTAAGTTCACAGTTTTTTTTTTGATCACAGATGCTAAACTTACACGAATAACCATAGTTTCAAACTATAAAAATAAAATATAATTACACAATACCGCTTCAGCCTGTGTCCCGAACCTATTTATGATTCGCCCCAAGAAAATTCAACGTGCCTTCACACTCGCTTCCACGCCCACCCCTCACCCCCTGCCTTCTCGACCGCGGAGTGCTTGTCCGCGAGTCAGCCAGAGGCCGCCGCGTTGCTGACACCGCACTCCTGCACCCATCGCCATCATGGACGTCGAAGAGTTCCGTATACGTGGCAAAGAGATGGTGGATTATATTTGTACTTACATGACAACACTGCGTACGCGACGCGTTACACCGTCTGTAGAACCGGGATATCTCCGCGCGGCTCTGCCATCAGATGCTCCGTATCACCCGGATGACTGGGATGATGTCATGAATGACGTAGAGAACAAAATCATGCCAGGTGTCACCCATTGGCAGCATCCGCGCTTCCACGCGTACTTCCCTGCCGGCAACGGATACCCGTCTATCTTAGGTGATATGCTTTCAGCCGGCATCGGTTGCATCGGGTTCTCATGGGCAAGTAACATAATATAATGTAAATATAATTTGTTTGCTTCAAAACTTTATTAAGATCAACTCGATTCATTATCAAACGTTTTCAAACTTGTATATCCATTTAATAAACTTTGTGAGATTAGAAAATTAAGACTTTTATAAAAACTAGTGTTTTTGAAAAGTTTAATTACTTTTTGCAAATTCAAATCTTAAAAACATAGTTTCTCCTTTTTATTAAAAAGACGAGAAAATAAGATATTGAATATGCGCCATTCAGAGATAGAGATTGCTTTAAGGTTTTATGTCCGTTGTTTGTGTGCTAAAAAATAATAGTGTGGGAATTGTAATAGGGAAATAGTCAATTACAATTTTATAAACGATGATTTCATAGTCTAATCAAAATAGACAAAAAATCTGTAAGTTAGACAAAATTCGCATATAGCTGATTCTTTTTTCCTAGTTATACTATCTGCGTACTAATGACAAATTCTACCTTATTATATGATTCCTGTGAAATTATTTTATTTTATCAAATAGAAAACGATTTTTATTCATCGTCTCGATCAATTTAGCTTTCACAATATTCATATTTATTTTATATAAAAATCCTCTATTTCTACATCATTATGTTTGTTTTTTTTTTTTTTTATCTAATCTATGAATTTTAGTTTGGTTACTTTCCTGAATAATATAATTTTAACTAACTATAACTTTAAACTTTGCCCACGACTTCGTTCGCGTGATATATATGTTGACTTCCGGCAGCCATTTCAGAAATGCTAAAATATAGGTACATATTTAGGAATCTGTATCTTATCAAGTTTCTAAACATAACGTTTAATGATTTTATCTTTTTAGACAATAACGAACTTACGTTCTACCTACAATAAATTTTAAAAAAATTACCTTCAAATGTAACTATTGTGTCCTTTCCCAAAGTCCACTTTGTACAAAATTGAAAAAATAAAAGTCGGTTCGGTTATAATATTAGTAGATTTATTATTTCGAGCGATAAATAAAGATTACTATAGTAGTAATAGTACTATATTAATACATCCAAAATCGAACTGTTTTTTCAGCTAAACGAAGGTTTTCATTTGCTAACTAAAATAAAAAACCGTTGGCTTATAACTAATCGTTATTGTCATTGAGGTAACGCAATAAGTATTCTGAGGCTCGACAGCCTAAACTCAAAGTCAAGACCTAATTATCACAAAAATATGTAGAATTGATACAAAAAAGGTATTTAAATAAAAATAGTTATTTAAGATACGAGTGCGGAAAGTAAAGTTTTACGTTTTACGAATTCGAAAAACCTTTTACGCTCAAGTTTCTTACAACATTTTTCAATGCTTTTTGCGAGGAAATAAAACAAATATGTAGGTTAATAAAACTAAGTATGTATTAAAGGTAAAAATTATTTGTTAAAATTAAACGTGATATTTGAACATGTTTTCGTGTCATACAATTTTATTTGAAAATATTTGTTCTAGGCTCCTTGAAATACTTTTGCCTCTAAAGTTTGACATATTTTCATCATTTTTTTTTTAATTTCTTTGGTGCTCGGCCAAAAAAATTAAAAAAAATACTTTTAAGCACGTGTGCAGTATAGGATTTCAGTACATTTTTATTTAACACGTGTTTAAAGACTCACTTTCGGTGTTTACAATGCATTAAAAAAATAGCGCTTTATGAGCAACTGCATTGAAAAATATATTACATCACTTTTTGTTTTTTTTTTTGTTTGTAACCCTTAAAACCCAGATTGTTTATTTTAAATTCCCATATTTTTTAAATTGAAATCTGAATGAAATAACAATGGTAGACATATTATATAACAATCTATAATGATTTTCATTTATCCATTAAATAATCGGGCTTCAATCGTTATAATAAAATTTTATGGACAATGAAATAATTTAAAAGCTTTAAATTGTAGGTAACTGCTGCCTTAATAAACAATTATTGAACTGCTGTTAAATTACATGGAATTATTAAATGGAAGCTACTGATCCTATCAAATGTTTTATTCTGTTTATAGGAGAATGTTGTTAGTACATAATTTTAATGGACGTAACTAATAGCTTTCCATATGGTAGTTATTTGATACCGATGTCAGTGCATTGATTGATGTTATATGAAAACTGATACAATAGCCAATATAAAAGCTATTAAAATGCTCTGATATTATTGGTTTCTTATAATTCTGGTGAATCGTATAATTAATTAGGATAAAGGTACGAAATATCTTAAAAAATACATTATATTTTCCGTCCTTCTAAATAAAAAAATGCAAATTAAAATGCATCGGCACATTATACATAAGAGTAAATAGAGATGTAAATAACTTATATACGAGTAGATAGCAATATGGTACTCGGCATAGAAATTTCTTTCGCCTACGGGATACTTTTCATATGCGGTCAGCATAGGCTATATTTTATCCTGAAAAGCGGCATATAAGGGATGAAAATGGGAATGGAAGTTTCTATAGAAAATCAAAACATTATCATAGGAGCCATTGCTTACGATTCAATTTGTCATTGTAATTATATACGTCTTATGATATGAAACCCTATCCAAATGATTTATTGAAATAAATTCTATGCTCGGTTCGAGTTTATTTTGGGTTAACTTTTATCTCACTAAACAGTTCCTTAAGGACCACGCGGGCGAAGCCCCTGACGAAAACCTACTTACCCTTGACCTGACTAATATTCTATGTGCCACTACACATCTTATCAGTGCCAAGTTCCCTGGTTGACTGGTAGGAAATGCCTAATAGCATTAAGTCCGCCATTTGCACAGTTTTACGTGCAATAAAGTTTAAATAAGTAGATTACAAATATTTCCCTGCACATTACCTCACCACTTAGATCAGGATTACTCTTATTCAGCACAGCTTCTTAAATAGGGAATTCGATAATAATTCATCAATATTTTATTAAAAAATACTATATTTTAGATAAGCTTCTGAAAAATTATAAGTGTATATTTGAGACTTGTTACATTGCAAAATTTAAATTCAAAATATTCTATTCAACTGTAACGACATTAAATAACTACAGACAAATTCAAATTTGGAAACTTAACGAATTAAAAGAAATAGTCAATTTTTATACAATAATTAACCTCTTTTCTCAAAACAAACTTTTCTGGTAAGTGCATTTGAATTCGAAAGGAAATATTTTATTTTGCCCGAGCAACGCGTCAGTCACATCGATTTCTGCAACTGTATTGATCACTTTGTAATAGACGTTTTAAATAGGTAATAGCAATGGCGATTCTTCGTTTATAGTACAAGATTATGACAATTTTAAAGCAATTACCTATGTAAGAAATTATGATAAATGAAACTTAAAAAATATATTAAACAAATGACATTGGTTTATATTACATGTATAAGTATTTGGAATCAGAAAACGCGTCTATTTTTATAAACTTTCATAGCGCTTGACACCCATATCAAATCGAGTTTCAGTTTAAAGGTTATTACCGCAAACGCCTTAAATTCAAAACTTTTCTTACTCTTAAGTCGGTTGGACTATTTGGTCTTTTTAAATAAATATAAATTGCAAAATGATCAAAGGAAAAAAAAATTATATATATCGCTGACTTTTACTCCATATTTAAGATTATAGGGTTATACATATATTATGTTTTATATCAAATAACTTTCATCTGTTTTAAACACCATATGTAGTCGAAGCACCTTATGTACTCTACATTTTTTTTATTTATTAAATGTGCAATAACTATCCCACCTTGCGTATAGCGCCCGCTTGTATGGGAAAAGCGTTATTTATATATATATTCTCTAGAAGAATCTTCCTTGGAATTAAAAAAATAAAAAATTATATAGGGTGAACCAGGGTTCAGACTATGATTAGAATTATTAAATAAAATTAATAAATAAAAATAAGTATAGATAAAAATAAGTATATCATCTAGAGGGTGCCATAATACCAATGTGCTTAATACATAATGCTACATTTTGCTACGTCGTAGTCAGGTTAAAAATGCCTTACAGTTTATGAATCATCGTCTCAATGCAATCAAATAGTTAATAGTATTATGTATTTTAGTTAAAATAAAGTATCATGTATAAATCTTTGAGAGAATATTTTGGTTATTATATTTACAATCACAGTGATGATTAAATATCTTTTTAATTGAAATTGCTTAAGAAAATCGGCCACGTGGGAGAAGAACTCACACACGAAGTATTTCGTAACATTATTCATATAAAAAGAAACAAGTTTGTTATTTTACTTTTAACTTTGTTATATATAGGCACGTACTACTGCCGAAACGATTGAATCTTTACCAACGATCGTTCAGTTGGTAGAGGGGGACACTTGACTCTAACGAAAATTAGCTCTTTAAAGCTTAATAAGTCACAAACGGTTATGGAAAAAGCTATCTAACCATGTTCCACACTATGGGGAACATGAAAAAAAATATTATCGACACTTTAAATGTAGGGGAGGATGGTGTAAATAACACAAAAACTACTGAAACTGAGAAAATTATAGACACTTTTTCTGTGTACCAGGTAGTTACATTCTAATTTTAAAATATACATATTTGTGTATAACTTTCTGTATAATATGTATAAATTATTCCAGGCAGCTAGTCCAGCATGCACAGAATTAGAAATCATCATGCTTGATTGGATGGGTACGTAAAAATTCATTATTATAAGTCGCTAAAGTTTTCCGAAAAGTAAAAAAAAATTTTTTTTCTCTCGAAGCATTAAATTATGATTTAGCACTAATATTAATTATGAATGATATCTATCACTCATAATTATGTAACTTCTTATGCAATATGCTTTTTGAAAACAGTAGTAAGTATTTGGAACACAGTAGGAATTTTTTAATTTATATCTATTCCCCTAACTTAGGCACAGGCTTGGATTATAAGTCTATGAGCACTGTGTTACAGAAATTCGAAATAACGAAGGTACCTATTATAGAAATAATAGTCTATTGATGAGTAAATCTTTACAAATAAAGGTATAATAAATATTTAAAAACCATATTTTAGGAATTGTATTTTCTCTAAATATCCCTAAATTCATAGGAAAGGCGATTGGATTACCACCAGCATTTTTAGCACTCGAAGAAGGCAGTAAAGGAGGCGGTGTGATAGAGGTGAGTTATTAGTCTGATGCCTGTTTTTACTAAACTTAAGAGTCGCCCAAATCTGTCGTCTATATATTTAGGAATCTTCTAGGGTAAAAATGCATTTCTCCATTGACTAGGAAACACCTAACGAAATTAAGCAATCTCTAAAGTTATGATATTCGTTATGCGGCACCTTACGCTAGGCATTTGACGCATTCGCATAAAACTATTCTGTTTAGGTGATTCGTTGTATTAGTCATTTCCTAGTTAATCCATGCTATAATCTATAGTTAATCTTTATTGTTCTAAGGTTAGTAAAAATGGGTGTTAAGAAGTCGTGGCACAAATGTACCTACAAGAGTTTTCAAACATTTTATAGGTGCTTTCAATAGTTTAAAATTAGCGAAAAACTTATTTTAAATATAAAAAGTAGACTGAATTGTATTTAAAATAAATAAATAAAGTTCATAAAAAATACTGAGAGTTTTATTTAATGGAACAAACTTATCAACCAATCGCTAGAAGTTTGTTTTCTTCCAGCGCCTAACTTCCGCACTCGGTACTGAGTGATTTTAACATACTGAAATGTCAAGCTTTAGAAAGCTGTTGCACATTTTTATCACGAGCTCTCCATCTATAACTTGTATCAGAATTTGTCAGTTAGTGTTTGAATATACGTAGTTTAAGAGTCCAGAAAAATGTGTTACGTAATGGAATAATAAATTTTCTATAGTTTGATTATACACTCGTAATGCCAGACAAAAAGATATAGGTAAGTACGTTCTCTGCGTTAGAACTATTGTTGCTATGCGTCCAATAGTGCTATTCTATTATAAAAACAATATCCAACTCGTCGACAAACGGCAGCGCTGTCACAGCATAGAGGTTCAAGTAAATTAAAAAATAAATTATATATTAAAAACACTACTGTCAAAATAGAACTTAAACAAATTGAACTTACATATCATGGCTTGTCTAAACAATAGCGGACCATTCTGTGCTCAAAAATTTGGCTGGTGATTTCTTTAGTATTTCCAAGTTTTCACAGTATGATATTGAAATAATTTATATAAGTACTAGATATATTTCAAAATTGTTACACCTTGATATTGCAATATTTTTTCAAATATCAATTCTGATACAGTTCTTAAAACGTTGTGTTGCATAGATTGCTCTTCAGCTGAAAGAACTCTATTCGAAAATAAATTTAAAACCGATTTGGTCGTTGTTTACGTACCTTAATATGTTTTTTTTTATCTATCCTTTTTCACAGGGTTCAGCGAGTGAGTGCGTGTTAGTCTCAATGCTGGCGGCTAGAGCTAACGGTATCAAGCGATTAAAGCACCAATTCCCAACCGTAGACGAGGGTCTACTACTGTCGAAGCTCATCGCGTACTGCTCAAAAGAAGCCCATTCGTGCGTCGAGAAGGCAGCGATGATCTGCTTCGTGAAACTTCGTATTCTACAACCAGATGAGAACGGCTCTCTTCGAGGCGAGACATTAAAAGAAGTTAGTATATTCTTATTATTTAAAGGTTCAGGTTTTTGTGTATTCATAGTCAACAGTATGTTATCGTAACAAAATACAATGAGTTAAGGTTTAAAATTGTTTATACAAATCTGTCAAATTTTTCTCTTTGATTTTTACTTATCATAACTTTAAATTTATCATAGAAATTTAAAAAGAATTGAATATTTACTTAAGCGGTTAGCTATTCACCTCTTAATTCTTTAATTGGGATGACAAATTGAGGGACGCATAGAGATGTAGCTCAATTATCGTATTTATTTTAATAATTAAATAAGTTAATTATGGTTCATTTTTTAATTTTTTTTTTTATTTATTTTTATAAAAGTTGAAATTGTAGCTCTTTTTAAATCCCATATTTTGCTACCATGTTTTTTTTAAATTATAGTGATGATGAACACGTTTTTTTCTGCGACCATTATCTTAGATGATTAAACGTTTTCAGTATTAAAAAGTTGGTTGTTTTGATGTCAAACTCAAACTATTTAATAACTTATCCATATTCTAAGTGCCCATTAAATATAGTGTTTAAAAATAACTAACTTTCTTAATGAATCATGCTTGAAAATCCACATTGTCCCTGGCACTCCGAGATGAGAGTCGAACCCATGACCTTTCGTAATCCAGGCGTCTGCTCGTCATGGGTCTTGGTCATGGGTTCGAGTCCCATGCTAGGGACAATGTGGATTTTTTAAGCATTTTTCATTAAGGATATTTCTCAATAACACTAACTTAAATAACTATACATACATTTGCAAAAGAAATCGCAGTATTTTCTCACGTTTAAAAATTATAATATATTTAAGTACTAAGTATATTTTCAAGTAAACTAGCACAACACTACAGTAGATGAAGTGCTATGTATGGCGGGGTTGGTGGCTCCGGCGATAATGACTTGCCCTGGATGCCGGAAATACGTGGCGGGCCGAGCGGTAATAGAGCCGCATTGTGCGCCACTTTCTATGCCGCAAATATTGAAATTTCACGATATTGCGCGCTTATGAAAGACAGCTTTAATTGAGACCGCTCTGTTATTGAAATTAGTGTCGTGTTTTTTCATTTCTCATTTTTAAATTTTAATTTAGCAGAAAAGGTTTTCTGTTAAGTAATTAGCAGACTACGAATATAATTTTCTTTAACTACATTTTTAGCGGTCTCGATTTGGCATATTATTTTTCTGAGGAAATTTAGTCCTTCATGATATATGGGTGACGTGACGTATCACTTACTGATCAATTACTGGTGGACAATAGAATTAGGCTATCTACTACTACTAAAAGCTTAGCAATACACAAGAAAAAAATCTAAATGGAGAAAAGAATCAATAATAAAAATATAAGCAGTCTAATTTTTTGTCGATCAGTATATAACTCAATGACAATCATTAACTTTATTAAATACCTGTAAGTTAAGTGCCTATCTTACCGTTATAATGTAGTTTCCCGTGGATGAAATATCTTTTTTAATCAGCCTATACTAAATATCAGATTTAAATTTGTTGGCTACTAAAAATTTGTCATTAAACAAAAATTAAATTACTCCATTCCAAAAATATAATTATGATTATACTTAATAAATTATTGGGTAGTAATTAGAACCGTTCGTTAGCCCGCATTGCGATAGGCGATGGGTTTAAGTCCCATCGCAGGTATCCAAGACTATTTTGTGGATCATTTATATTCCTTCATCTATAAATATATAATTTTGCTGTTTTCAGGCAATGGAAGAGGACGAGGAAGCCGGTCACGTGCCATTCTTCGTTTCGATTACATTAGGAACAACGTCATGCTGTTCTTTCGATAACCTCCCTGAAATCGGACCAGTAGTGCGCAAGTTCCCTTGCGTGTGGCTTCACGTAGACGCTGCATACGCTGGAAGCGCGTTCCTATGTCCAGAACACAAACACCATCTCGCTGGGGTGGAATACGCGGACTCTTTTAACACCAATCCCAACAAACTTATGCTTACGAGCTTTGACTGTTCACTCTTGTGGGTGACTAATCGATATTTGTTAACATCAGCCTTAGTTGTGGACCCCCTCTACCTTCAACATTGTTATGACCACACTGCCATAGATTATAGACATTGGGGTGTTCCTTTGAGTCGCCGTTTCCGATCGTTGAAACTCTGGTTCATGCTGAGGAGTTACGGCATCAGCGGTTTACAGAAATATGTTCGGCGGCATTGCGAGTTAGCGAAATATTTTGAAAATCTCGTTAAAAAAGACGACCGCTTTGAAGTATGCAATCAAGTTAAGGTAATTAAAATGTTAAAATTTAGAGGAATCAATTAATAGTACTATAATATCTGTAGTATTAATAATTTTTTTTTGTTAAATGTAAAATTTACATAAATGTAGCTTCAATTAGTCACAGTATATAAGGTTAAAATAAAGCTTAGAACGAAATTGTAGCACGCTGTGGAAACTTTCCATTCTTTGAACAATATAATCTATATTATTTTTTAAGTAAAATATATTGTTTTCTTCATAGCTTGGTCTAGTATGTTTCCGGCTCGTTGGTGGACCGGATGAGACACCTGAACAAGTAGACGAAATGAATAAGAAGCTACTGACAAACATCAATGCGTCGGGCAAGATTCACATGGTGCCAGCAAATGTGCGCGAGCGGTTCGTTATTCGTTTCTGCGTGGTGCACCAACACGCTACGCGCGAGGATATCGGTGACTCTTGATTTTTTTAAAGATCACTTAATCTTTTAGCTGATGACTTAAAAAAACACCCATAATGAAACAGATAATTGTTACCGGAATTCCAAAAATATTTAATTAAATATAATATTTACAGAGATTGCGTGGGATATTATAACTGACTTCGCTACTGAGCTTTTAGAAGGACCAGACAAGGAACGCGTAAGAGAATTTTTGTGTATAATATTGTGACAATTTTTTATCTACTTGATAAGTATGATATAAAGACGGTGTTCCCAGCTTACTCAAATACTATGCAAGTGGTGTAGGAGAGATTAGTTACTAGTCTTTCTCACTCATTAGTACTCCTAAGCAAAAGCAGCACTACCTGGGTAAGATAAGATCGATATGGGCCGCTCTCTGCTCTGATCACTAGTGACCAGTTCTCATGAACTGAAGCAGATATATTTATTTACCTATTTCTTCTCCACTGGGTCGGATGGTCATTGACCGTTCACTGTTCTGATCACTAGTTACCAGCCCTTTTAAATATGTAGAAGCAGCCATATTTATTTTATCTCAACTAGGTAGGATTGACAAGAAATGATTTCTGCCATGATCACCAGTTGTCAGCCCTAATAAGTAAAAGCAACCATATTTAAATTGAATAATCAACACTAAGTAGGAACAACATCCGCTCTCTGCTCAGATGATCAGTCACCAATCCTACAATCATTTATATGTTTGTCGCGACAGAAAGATATTCGTTTGGCAACAACATAACACAAATAGATATTCTTACATGTTTGGACCTTAACATAGAGATTCTTACATAGGACCTAGTAAGTTTTTCCTCGAAACAACTGTGGTTAATTTTCTTTTTTTCTCATTATTATGGTTGTGTACTATCAGGACTTGAACGAGGAACGAGCACGGCGCAACCGCGCCGCTCTAGCGCACAAGCGGTCATTTTTCGTGCGCATGGTCAGCGATCCCAAGATCTACAATCCAGCCATCAACAAAACTCCTCCTCCGGCGCCGACGACGCCATGCTCTCCGCCCCCCACTGCCGCACCCACAACACCCGACACGCCTTCCGATTCTGGTGCTCAACCGCAAACGCCGTGAGTGTTCAAAGTCGGTAATTTACGGTTACAGAAATCTTTATTCTCAAAAGAATTACAAAAATTAGCTTAATGATAAATACAAAACCCAAAGACAATTATAACATCAAAAACGTAACGTACAATTGGAATTTTAATTTAATACATAGATATGTACTAGGGGTAGTTCTTTTTTTAATTTCTAAAATTAACATTATAATATATTAATATTATATTAAATATTTGGTAAACGGTAAATTCCAGGAAACAATCTTCGTGGATCAGTTGGCCCCTCGCTTTCTTCTTCCAAAGTGTTGACAACGACGCTAATGATTTACCTCTAAGGTGTGTATATAATAGCTTTAAAGAATATAATTTTTTATCAAACCTTTATCATATTAGTAATTCTTCTATGTATTAGTAGATGTAGAATTTTAAGTCTGTTATTAGTGTAAATGAAAACCAGTCTTAAAAATATAGCTTATAATTTATTGTGGGATTAGACGAGCAAATAGAATATCCCAATAATTTACTAATAAATATATACGTATTGATTGATATTTATAGACATAAGCTAGCAAATCGAAATCTTTGATCGGACCGAACGAATATTCTGACAGTTCATCCAATACTCCACATGTAGAAAAGTAACAGATTAATTAATGTTGGTTCGGGAATTTTAGCTGATATCCAATATAAAAACAACTTTTAATCGGTTTTTTATTGACGTTTCGGATCCTTTACAGGTTCCATGTTCACATAAGACTAACAGTGCTACTTATAACAAGGTTTAGCGATGGAGTAAATTTACGCTGAGACTGCTCTTTGTATTAGTCAAAATTCATATTATTAAACAGAGACTTAACAAAAGTTAACCTAGTACGAGGTTCTACGGGAGTAATATTTGCTCCTAGAAGGTAGTAGATTTGCTTATTCTCTGTGTAATATAAAAATGGACTAATACTAAAATTGCTTATTTTAGAGTAGGGGAGACCTAGGTGAGTTGTGACAGAGGTGAGTTGTGACAAGGAGGATTTCTCTCTACGTATTATAGTAAGCGAGATGGCTTTAACGCTTGTTTGTCGTTCTCGACACGCGCTACACGACTCAGTACCTGTCGACGGTGCATGTGGCACAGTTGCGTAAATATATCGTCAGTGTACAAAAAATTACGAAAAGTAAGTTTTTCTTCAAAATATTATTTGAATATATATCATATCTTAGTATATGTGCATTGATGTTGATAACTACTAGAGCGAGGACTGTATAATGAAATGCTAAATAAAATGAATTAAATAATATAATATTACTACATAAGTTTACAAGTTTATAAGTCGGTTACAGAACAATAATTTTAAGCTACTAATGACAAAATCAAAGAATATACTAAAAGTCAAAAAACTGTATAAAAGGAACATGTCATAAAAACTTCTTAAATATGTACACTATGCCAACTGCCAGCTAGTTTCTAACATCCCCGCCCCCAGTGGAACACTAACATTCGTTGGAAAGTGGCTGGCAGTCAGCGCTTATAGGTATAAGCTTCCGGATTGGGCGGCGCAAGGTACCCCCTTTAGTAAATATATCGGCAACGCGCACAATTCCGTCAGCTCCTCTAAATATTCTAGTGACTCTTCCCAGTGGCCACAAGCCCCTCGGCAGGGAAGAGTCCGCGATAAGCACGACGTCCCCCTCTGAAATCGTCAGTGAGCTGCTGCGTCGTCCTCTCGGAGTCAGTGTAGGCAGGTACTCTCGAAGCCATCGTGACCAAAAGTGATCCGCCAAGCGAAGTGTGTGCCGCCAGTCACATCGCCCTATCAAATCCGAATCCCCGAGTGAATGAGTCCATGGGTTGGTGGACGAAGACCCAAGAATAAAGTGAAAAGGCGTTAAAGCTTCCGGGGCCTGCGGCGAGGCTGATATATAGGTCAGGGGTCTGGAGTTTACTATTCCCTCGACTTCGGCTAGCAAGGTGGTTAAAATTTCTTCTTTGGGAGCCTTTGTTTTTAATATGTATCTTAATGCGGTCTTTACTGTTCGGACAAGGCGCTCCCAGGCTCCTCCCATGAAGGGCGACGCAGGGGGAATGAACCGCCACTCGATCTTGTGGTTTGTGGCAAAATCGTGGACGTTGTCGCCGTGTAACGCTCTCAGTATCCGGTTAGCGCCGACGAAGTCCCGTTGTCCGACATGATAACAGATGGGGATCCTCTACGGGCTATAAAGCGTCTTAAGCTCAGGAGTGCAGAATTCGATGATAGCGATCCGACGACTTCGAGGTGTAACGCTCTGGTAACGAGACAGGTGTATAAGGCTACATAGCGCTTCTCATGCCTACGATTCACAGTTACATCCACTGGGCCAAAATAGTCGAGTCCAACATTAGTAAATGGTCTCTTGTGGTGTTCGAGACGTACCGATGGCAGATTCCCGGATTGTGGCACCGTAGGCTGGACTTTGTACCGCTTGCATTCGTTACAGCTGTTGGCGATGCTACGTATAGTTCCCCGTGCTTTGAGTATCCAAAATCTTTGTCGGAGTTCATTCAGAACAAGTTCATTGAAAGAATGAGCCATCTGGTAGTGGTAGTGAAGTATTAGAAGGCGAACAATGTGATGGCGGCCATCCAGGACTATCGGACGTTTGACACTCTCACTTACCCCAGGAGCAAATTTAATACGTGAGTCGAGTGTAATTAACCCATCGGTGTCCAATACTGGGGAAAGTGCAGCTATCCTGCTATTTTTGGCAACTGGCTGTGATGACTGTAAGGCCTTTTATTCTTCAGGAAAGCTGTCGACTTGCGCACGATGTAGAAGAAGATGCTCGGCGCGGGAGATGTCCATAACCGACAATCCAGAGGGGGAGGTAGTGCCATCTGTATACAAAAAAGAAGATTGAACAATACATCGTGATATAAATGATCTAAAAATACGCGCTGCCTGTATAAATCGTGCTGTTGCCCTCACTAGGCGTAACCATTTACTAAAATGCGTAAAACCAGGAACAGGTAAAGAAGGCAACGGTGCCTCGGTGAGTAGTCCCACCAGTTCGGATTGACCTTCGGATGCTGGAGGGGCTTCAGAATCGCAACTCGATTCAATAGGCCACTCCGAATCTGGAGACAAAAGAAAGGACGGACCGGAAAACCAACGGTGCGACAAATCCAGTTTCAATGCTTTAGGTTTTGTGGCATCGTCGGCGTTATTAAAGTTACTAGGAACCCACCGCCAATTAGAAGGATTCGTGGTTTCCAGTATTTCACCAAGACGATGGGCTACAAACGGCTTAAATGCTCTAGCATCACCTCTTAACCACTTAAGGACCGTAGTTGAGTCAGTCCAGTAAACAATTATGTTTTATGCGGTATGCTTTCAAAATTGTTTGAGCGAACCTAGATGCTATTAAAGCCGCTTGTAGCTCTAATCTCGGAATTGAGATTGGTTTTAAAGGTGCGACTCTCGCCTTACTACCTATTAGTGCCAAGGACGTCTCTCTATTAACGTAAGTGAAGCGCCAGTAGGCAACACATGCGTACGCCTGCTCTCCACCATCAGCGAATATGTGTAGCTGGACGTCAGAAAATGTCGGCTGACTCATGTAATATCGTGGAATACTAATATTTGACGTAGTTTCTAACAGGTGAAACCAATTTTCACACTCAGGTATAAAATTTTCGGGAATGGGCGTATCCCAATTCACTCCTTCCCTCCACAGCCTTTGAAGGATTATCCGACCCTCAATGATAATAGGCATCAATAGACCTAGAGGATCGTATATCTTCATAACCTTGGACAGAATGTAACGTTTCGTCAGTGATGTTGAAGGATCATGTTGAACTATGCGGAAGCTCAAATGGTCACTACGTGGATTCCATTTGACTCCTAAAACACCTACATTGTCATTAGGGGGTAGGTTGACATCCGAACCACTGTCGCTCCGCAGTTCAGCTGGGATTAAGGTTAGCGCTTCCGGGTGATTAGAAACCCAGGAACGCATCTCAAAGCAACCAGCTTTATGAACCTTCACGATGTCAGAGGCGATTTTCGAAGCTCGTAAAACATCAGAGTGGCTTCCTAGATAGTCATCCATGTAATGGTCGTATATAATTGCGTGACTAGCATCTGGGTATTTATCGCTCATGTCTTCAGCGTTCTTGTTTTTTAGTGCAAGAGCAATAAAGGGACTACAAATTGCGCCAAACATCATCGATGACATGCGATACTCTGTTAGTTTCCCGTCTTTGTTCCGCCACAGGAAACGTTGTGCATCCCTATCCACTGTTGCAATTTTAATTTGGGGAAACATCTCCCTTATATCCGCGTTCAGGGCAACAGCACCCTCTCGGAAACGGAAAAGAATATCTAGCAATGGTTGTAGCAAATCTGGCCCTTTTAATAATAAACTATTGAGACATACACCTCTAGTCTTTGCTGCCGCGTCATGTACCACCCGAAGCTTACGTTTTTGTGGATGCATCACACCAAATGTTGGCAAGTACCATCTAATGGAGTCACCAGAATAAAATTCGTGGTAGGTATCTGCCTCACATTCTTCGGCGTAACCCTTCTCAATTATGCCAGTAATGAAGGTTTCATAACCAGTTTTAAAGGCTGAATCTTTTAACAGCTGTCTCTCAAGAGACATGAATCGCGATAGTGCTAAAAAGTATGAGTCCGGCAGGGGTTTCGGTATGTTATTACGCCGTGGTAACCTCACTTCAAATCGACCAGTATCAAGTCTTCGAGTTGATGTTCTAATGATGTCGAGTGCGCGTTGATCTTCGACATTTTCTTTCGGTAATTTCTTGCTAATGCCTAAAGAATCAATCTCGTACTGTCGTTTAATTAAATTTTCCAACTCGTCGTATTGGTGTTGCATAAACTCTTCAGTGGAATTTTTTTGAGGTTCGTATTCGTCGTCGTTGTTCGAGTAGTCGTTTGTGGTGTTGACGAAGTCGATAGGTTTGGATGACGTCGAAATTGCACCGTGTAACACCCAACCCAATAAGGTGCGTGAGGCGACGGGTTCGTTCTTTTTGCCTACTCGGATGTCTCGACTCAATGATAAATCCCAATTTAAAGCACCAATGAGTACAGTCGGACTCACGTCATTATTTGACAACTCCTCTGAAAGATCAGCGAGGTGCTCGAACTCATTAAAGCAAATTTTGCCTATACTTTGTGATCGTAATCCAAGCGGCGTAATAGTTCGAGCGTT